GAAAGTAGAATTCCAGGCAAAACCTAACTAATCTTAAAAATGTTCCCTCCTTCCTCCTATGCTGTGTAAGAAAGATGTATATACACCTATTTTCAGGCTGCTCTGGTCTTGTCACGTGATCTCCTGTGTCAGCCAGCGGCAAGTGCAGGGGAGAGGAGAGAGTACTCGACAACAGCTGGAATGCCTGGAAGCTGCAATGGTAATTCTGTTGGTGCTTCCTCCTCTTCCCTGCAGCTGCTGCTTGCTCACAGTCGAGCCGAATCATGTGACCAGACCAAACTGGCCTTAAAATAGGCAAGTATACAGCTCTTTCTTATACAGGTTAGTCAGAATAGGTGTTAGGAAACGGGGAGAGAGCATTTTAAGATGAGTTAGATTTTGCATGAAATTCTACTTTAAGAATGGTTACGTTCTGCTTTAAATATATTGCAGAGTACCACTCAGATATGACGGCTTCATTAGTTTGCATTTTTAGGTATTTCTTCCCCTTTATTTTCACTGGTAATCCTCCTAGTAACACTTCCTGTTCTAGAGTGATATTGCTACCTCACTGTACTATATTAGAAAACAGAACAGGTCTACTGAAAACTCTCCACCCTCTCTTTTCCATAACATTGATAGGCAGGACTCCATAGTCCTCAGAAGAATGTAACAGATAAGAATGCAGCAAACAGCACAGGTTATCAGCTGACAAAATTCCAGGATCAAACAGGTGTTTTTGGTACCTAAATAGATAAAACAGTGCGTGTCCCCAGCTTAAGCTAAATCACCATTGTTTTTTTTTTTTTTTTTCTGTTCAACCCAGTGGGCTAAACACAAGAAACCCATACAGATTTCCATACTAACATATCTAACTTTAGTGCGGTTATCACCCCACTGAGCTATTGTGTTCTGAACGGGGGACTGCCCCCTGCCAGAACACAATGACCAGCGATCACAACCATTGGCTGTGGATGCTGGTTTTCCAGCATGCTTGTTTGACAGAAGCAGATTGCGAGACTGGCTTCTATTGGATAAGGGTCGAAAGTCAGTTGGTTCTTGCTGAACCAATTGTTTTTGGCTAATTTTCGGCCCGTGTGTACCTAGCATTAGCCCTTCATACATTTAACACTCTTAGGCTTTTGATGCCAGAATACTGATAGTTATGACATCACAAATGAGAAATAAGTGACTTGTATGTAGACTTCATTAACATTCCACCGTAATACAATTTTACAAGACACTTCAGAGTTTAAACAATTTTATTGTGAGTAAAATAACAGTACAAGGAAAGAAGAGGGGAAAAAAATAATACATGACCCTTTTGAAATGTGTATCAGTACATTACTATACTAAACTGCGATACAAAGACCTGGAACTCAAATAATTGCAAAAATAAGGAGATGAAGGATATGCATCAACCAATATAAAGCAAAAGCTTCCACACAAGAATCATATGAAGCCGGCAACATTTCAATGCAGAGTTACATAAGCCAGAGGCTTTAGTGGATAGTAGGATGTCCCATCAGGTTATCTCTGCCTTAGGTACACAATGGAGGAAGCCATTTTGTTCTAGCGTAAAGCAGTTCATTAGGAACAAATTGTATCCTAGTGGTATGAGGCAATCCATGCTATAGTGACTTTGAAAGCTCCCAGTATACTGACGGGGCTGAATTGAGGGTTGGTTAACTTATAAGGCCTGTCCACACTAAACTGGTATGTAATCCTTTGGGTGGGTGGTGCCTGCTTTTTGTGTCTTGCAGAATAGGCCATTGTACCAAGCCGGAGGAGCTAGGACCGACCTCAACCATAATAAGGGATCTGCACCCTATGGGCAATTTTGTATTTTCCATGTAATGGTCACAAAAATGTCTGCAGGATATAAAAAAAAAATCAATAGAGGTCAAGCACTGCATAGTCAAGGGAGGTAGGGAGAGCCAACTGCTGTGGTCCCAAAGATATAAGAAGCCCAACTAGACCCCATTCAATAACTGAAATACAAGTAGTCGATGAATGGACCTTTACATGTGGAATTTAGCAGCCAAGAGCTGAAAATCACACATTTCACCTGAAAATGAAAAAAGTATTCTATAGTCAGAAGGCTTCTTTAAATAGTTAGGTAAAATATCTGCCTGGCTTCAGGGATTTGTCCACACGTAGACTAAACATGGTTTTATACAATCAAAACAGCCTCCTTTACTGTATACCAAGACAGGAGCAATTTAAGAAGAGAACCTGTAAGAATAAGGACTAGTGTAAGACTTGTGGGGTGTAAAGAGTACATCTGTTCATACATTAAAAGCATTACCTACATGCAGGAGTAATACAGTTGCAGGACGGTAATGCAATAACCAAAACAACCCTTTATTACATCACCTCCTCATATAATGATAAAGTAGGTTAAATCATACATATATATATATAAATACAAAAAAGTTATTTATTTCCAAATAATAGTCCAAAGTCTAAGAAGGTGATTGAGGCAGTGACATTCTATAAAGAGTTGCATCCTTCATATTGCAGGTAGAAAATAATGCCATTCATTTATGACGTCCAGTTAAAACTTTGTGTAGCATTTTATTAAGAAAATATAGATTTCAAGGGGATTTCCATGACGCCACCAACTCAGACCTCTGTATAAGCATTCAGAATGAATTGCTGACTGCCAATGGGCTGCAATACAGGAAATCAGCAGCAGGCGGAGCTGTAGATGAATCCTGTAAATCAGTTTCAGTGTAACTTAGCACCTGACACCTCCCTGTAACGTGGTAAAGCCCAAATCTCAGCAAGGAGGTTCATGGAATTCTCCTTTCCTTCCCCAAATAAAGTTGTGAACAAAATAAGAATGTAGAATTCACCGCTTTTCACTGTAACAGCTTTGCCAGAATTAAAAAAACAAAAATATCAAACAAAAAATTTGGGTGTTGGGGTGCACAGAGCATTTCCAAAGAAACTGAGTGCAATATAAAAGAATGTTCTTTGAGATTTAAAAGAAAACTGATCCCTGTAATACTTCTCATTCACAGTAAATTCCCTCTAAAGAATTCAGGTAAAATGCTACAACTGACCAGAACGGTCTGGGTTACCTCTGAAGTTAACGAGACCTTCTCCCTAGGCTGAGCTTGTTAAAAAAGAAAATGTATTTTCATCGTTTTGTCATGGAAGACTTTAATTTGCAGACACAACCAGGTGTATTGTTCCTGGTAAGTGATATTATTAATGTTAAATAACCCTTCCCTATGGTACGAAGTGCCATCACTATGAACACATACAGCATTCCAGGTATTTATGACTAAAAGTTGATGGATTTACAAAGCAAGTTACATTGACTCTGCTTCAAATAAAATTCACAGTTAAAAAACCAAAGCAGAAATATATTAAAGTTTGTAGGAGCCAAGTTGTGAGCTGAATGGATATCTGCTAAATTAGTTCAATGCTAGCCAAGCGTTGGCCTTGGTGGTGTATTTATAGGCCGGACCAATGGCTACCACATTTCAGCAGAATAATATACCTTTTTTTTTTCTTTTAACAGTAAACTTAGTTACAGATCTTGGTGGAAGCAAGCAGAACCTCAAAGCCTCCTACTACGAGAGTATGTTTGTGGAAGAGCCAAAACTCCAAACAGCAAATCACGCCACTCTAGTCAGGAGGAGATGCAATAAGCCAGAGGGCCATTCTACCTGCTGATGTTTCAGAAAAACCTGGCTGGATTGACCCTTTAAGTTCCACCTTCACTGGCCATGCCAATTAAATACTGACCAGGTAGTACCCCTTGCAGCATTCTCCTGACTGGGGGTTTAGCCCACAGAATGGCTCTCTCCACTTTTATAGGCAATATATTACTCAATATTGGATGCAGTAGCAATTTTAACCAATGCAACTGAAATGTTGGAATGTGTTGAGATGTGCATAGAGCTTTTGGTTATTAAGCAATAGCCTGCAGTGGTCTTCCTATAGTAGCTGTTCTATTTCCAAAGCAATGTATTAGTACATACATTTGGTTAAAAATGCAATGTGAGCGTCATAGGATCCATTTAGTACCTTCACACTTACAAGTCTACCCTGCGGAAGGACCAACAATTAGGAAGAGAGGCAGGTAAATGTGGAAGCAGGCAGTGTCACTATCCACTGCTGCTGGGAATACACCTTTTCAAGCAATTCATTCACTTTCCAGTAGACTTTTAGTGACAGTTCTGCTGTGGGACTAAAACTCACAATAGAACTGGCTGGAATTAAGAAGATAGCAGACACACCAAGAAAGGTAAGGGATCCAGTTATAAAGCATACATGTGATGGTGTGTTTGAAATGAATTCACAATTCATCAGAGTTTCTATCCATTCATTCTTGTGATCGTAAAACGAATGTGACAGCCACACGGTTATACAGTGAAGAAGTGGTATGGGTGATCATTCCATGTCATTAAGGCAGCAGCAGTTCCTAGTGAAAAGAAGCACAAATGACGCCAGCAAACAGCCAATTACTTGCTTAGATTATTCAGCTAGAACCAAGACTACCCCATGAAAGCCCTGGTTAGGTAAGGGACCGAGTGTAAAGCAGCTTGGTGTACGCACAGCGAGGAATGACGGCAAGCCTGTTGGGTCACAAGGTTGAAAAGTTTCATCAATGTATAGGAAGGTGCTGAGCTCTGATGTGTACATGCCTTTTCCCCTGCAGAGCAAAGCAAAAGCCAGCTATTTACATAAGACATGCCCGAGTGTTAACAAAAAGTGGCAATCGCAAGCTATTTGGAGTGCATTTAGCTATTCAGCTGAGCTGTACAATCACAACTGAAAAGCTATGTGAAGTGAACAGTTTGTGTCATTAGCTGCTGAACACACAGGTTAGCACCTTACATGGAAGTGACTTTCCAGGTTTAACCTTTCACAATCAAACTATGACTAGCAGAATCAGTTACGGAATTTTCTGGCATTCCTTTATATAATGGAGACAAACAATAAGATTGGGTACATTCTAGTGGTTAATGGAACTCTTAGAAACATGACAGTGTTCCTGCAGCTCTCTACGACTCGCTCTTCTTCTTGCTCTTCTTCAGAAAGGAAGGAGTGCGGAATTTCTTCTTCTTTTTGGAGGGGGATTTGCCGGGAGATTCGTCGCTGCCAGCATCGACCTGTGCGGTTTCAGCCTGTGCGGCCTCTGGTTGAGCCGCCGCTACTTCCTCTGCAGCTGGTGCGGCAGCAGGAGAAGAGTCAACGTTCTGAGGTTCAGGCTCTTTGTGTTCTTTGGGAGCACTTTCTGTGTGGACTTTGGGAAGGTCCTCCTCAGCAGAAGCATTTTCTCCTTCATTTGGTTTGTCCACTGCTGGAAAGACGAGAGATTCAGATGGCTCGTCTGGGGTAAGATCTGGAAGAGTCTGCTTGAAGGTTGCAGCATCACTGTCATCTCTGTAGGTTGGCTCATGATGAGACTCTGTAAGAAGGATCAGATGGAAAAAATGATTGATATTGTTCTTTGCAAAGACAGACACCTCTGAATACTATTACACACTTGTGTGTACCTCCTTTTATAAAATTGCGGTAATGGGTAGCAAGTGTAAAAAAGCAAATTCATGGTAGATCCATACAAACCATTTGCAAATATGTATGTAAAAGTTTTACTATATGTACAAACATCAAGAACTATGGCCCTCTATCTATATTGGCTGTGAAGTTCTCAGTGTGCTTGACACCTGAGACCAGTAATCAACATTTGAATTCTTATAGAGCAAAGTGACTCACTCTACCAAAGGTGAACTCCTTGCTGTGAAAGTGCACTGAAGCTGTGCATTAATGTGTGGAAATGTGGCATCGCTTACAAATAAGAAAAATGTAAGACAACTAGGAGTGTAAATAAAGCAACAAAGCATTACTGTATGTAAATTTTATCTTTGCTGCAAGGCAAAGGTTCTCTACTTTGCCATAAAAAACTTGTTGTAAAGATGTAATCTGTTGAAAATTGTATTTAGTAATCCACTATTAGATAATTGTCCAATGTATGTTGTTTAATTACTGTCTGACAACTTGGGTTTAAAAATACAAGTTCACTAAAAAAAAAAAAAAAAAAAAAAAAAAAAAAAAAAAACCAATTCCTCAATCCCTAACCCAACTAACCTAGACTTCTCTCAATCTGATGCTCACTTACCTCTCCATGACACCAGGAGCCTTCTCTGGTGTTTAAATCCTCTGGCCCAAAATCTTCTCATGCAGTGACTCCTCATAGGCTAAAATTGGGCTGTACGTGCCATCTCTCTAGTATTGAGAGTATTGCCCTATTGTAAATCTATGATGAGTTACAATGCTGGTGTGACAAATTCTGGAGAGGACTTCAGGCCCAAGAACATCAATACCAAAAGGAGAATATCGCTATCATGAAGACACAAATAAGCACTTAGGCATGTGTTGGTTTTAGGTCAGACCACCAAAAAATTCAAACCAATAACAAAGTATGAAAAGAAAAATATATTAATTATACTTCTAGAAAAAGAAACCCTAATGCATAAAAACAAATCCCCGAAGATGTAGGCAAGAAACATCTACCCCTTATATGTAGCATTAAAAAAAAGTGCCCTCTAAAAAAGGTACTCGCTGGAGGAAACAATCTGGACAGAAAAAAAAAGCCTTCTCCCGATGAACTCTTAGGGCTCATTTACACTTGCTTTGACTTGAACACACATTGAAGCACCTACCACTTCAGCATGCTTTTTTTAATGTGTTTTTGATGCTTTGATAAAGCTTGGCAAATGCCCTGGGTTTGTTGATTTTCAATTTGTTTTAAAGGGGCCCAGTAGAATTCCTGCTCAGTAATACCCCCACTCAGCAGATCCCCAGCTCATTAGTAACCTTGTTTATCAGATTCCCTGCTCAGTAGTACCCCCAGCGCTGATGATGCCCCCCGTTACTTAGTAATCCCTACCTAGCTCTGCTTACCCCCTCTTCAGTAGTAACCCCCAGCTCTGCTGATCTTCCACTCAATAGTAACCTCTGCTGATCCTCTGCTGCTCATTTCTATCTCTCCGGTCCTTGCTCACCTTCTGCTATATCGCCCCCATGTTGCACACCACATGTACCGTCTGCTAGTTGCTCCGCTGCAGTCTGGACCCAGCTCACCTTCCTACTGCTGCTCACCAGTGACGTCTGTATGAGACACTTCCAGAATATACAGTATACACATAAACTGGAAGTGACTGTTGACGACATCTGTCCGGTTCGCTTGTTGGTTCCCAGTGCATCCTGGGATATCTCCTACCTGCAATACCTTTAAAACAAAGCGAGGCTAACACTGAACAAAAGCCCATCAAAAGTTTCAGGTGCTCCAAGCAACTGTTGTCACAGACTTCTATGAAGGCTTTCGAGCGTCAAAAAAATTGACATGGGGTAAAATATTTGAAGCAAAGCAACCACAACATGTGAACAGGACTGTAAAGTAACCATTTTATGTACCTATCAGGTGCTTTGACATTCAGTGTTTAAGAAGCGTGTCCAATGCCACATTTTGAATCAAGTGTAAACAATCCCTTGGAGCATTTGTCTGGACATCAGCTGTTAAAACTTTGGGTGCACCATTGATTAAATCCTTAAGAATACACTGGCTCTTTTTCAAGGCGACAAGAGACAGTGACAGACCTTGAAAAAGATGGCCATCATGTTCTTGAAATGTTTGTAACTTTTTTTGCCGATATGAGACTCCAGTAAATTCTGCTTCAGAATCAACTTCTCGGTGTGTTGGTTTTCTCTTCATTGCTGGACGTCTACCCTGCTATGTTTTGTTATCTTTCACTATTGGCCTCTATTATCTCTGATGTTCTTGTTCGCTGGGCATGAGCGCTTACCTTTGTTCTGTTATCTGTAGCATTACTGTGTGTTGTCGGCATGTTGCGTTTTGTCTGCAACCTTTCCTATCTGTGTGCCTGTGTTTGCCTTTATGTCAGACCTTGGTCTGTCCGACAGCAAAAAAAAGACGATTTTCCCTTCTGTGGGTACTTTAGTCATGCTTCATATATGGGGTAAATGTCTTTTGAATGCATTATTTATGCATGTTTTCAATTGGTTTTATGGGTTAGGACTTCTTTATGTTCAATAACCTTTATAGTATTTTGTTTTTCCACATGCTACGATTTGCATGTTATGTTGGTGCAACCACAGGATATGGGGAGCCTTCCCTTCTTTTGTTCTGTTCTTTTCCTCTTTGCAACCTCTGGCTAGCACATGTAGGTGGTACAGTTCTGAAAACTCTCAGGATCATTAGATAGGAAAGTGCTGGGTGCAGGGCAACATAACACCCAAACCAACAACCGTTGTCTTCACTTCTAACAAGCTAAACTTCAGTGTCATTACAAAATTAAATATTTAAATATCCCTGTTATATATTTTTTGCTTTGGACACTGGATCCTGCATTAGACAGACACTCACCTTGGTAGAAAGTGCAGTGTGTTTAGCAAACATTATAAGGCTGGCCCCACACAGTGGGGTCCAGATACAGTCCTCAAGGTACGACACCAAGGGGTATCAGTCTGGAAGCTGCTATGTAGTACAATAAGAAAGTCAGATCTTGATACAGGTTTCAGAAAAAAAAAAAAAAAAAAAAAAAGGGAACAGTAAAAAAAAAAATTTTTTGCCAGTCTCCAGTGGTAGCCAGCATATAACCCATAGTCTATAAATACAAGCCTTGTGTCCTATACTGTACAATTGAGATATTTTTAATACCAATTTCAAAAGTACTTGAATTCTGTCTATTTCATTTGCAACAAAGCAATGTACTTCATTGGTTTGGCACAATTCAAAGACAAAAAAATTGAGCCATAGCAAATAACTGCAGGAATGTATATGGAGCTGTTCTCGCAGAGCTGCTATATGGTGGGTGTCACAATCCCCTGCCAAAACATCTCCTTCTAAATAAATATGTCCTTATAGGAGGGGAGAGTAAGCAGATGAACTCATTGGTTTACAACCGATCCTTCATTGTCCTGCAGGCTGGTGGCAGGTTCTTGTCTTTCTAAACTGCACTGTGAGTCTGGCACTTGCCAATGCTGTCAGGAGTGGGTATCCGAGTTACAGGGACTATCCAAACAGAATTATAAGACAGTTTACATACATGATTTCCACTGTTCAAACCTTTACATACATGTTTGTAAATGATACAGATCAGAATTATTTAGCATACCAGCAGATGGCCATGCAGTGTATGTTTCTAGAGCCAGCACGTGTCATGTGAAGTGTGTAATACATTCATTAGTTATTTATGTTTTTTCCAGAAGAAAGAAAAAGGAAGCTGAACCTCCCTCCCAAAGTTTTGTTAAAAAGCAGTTAAACATCAAGTACAGAAAGGAAACCATTCAGATGTATTTTAGGATTACTATTAATGTATTAGAAACTTGTTAGCAAAATTAAAAATATGTTTTCCGCTTTCAAATCAGCCTTTCCATATTGTACATTCTAAAAATAATAATAAAAGGAGTAAAACAATCTGTAAGCCTCCCAAGCAATGATACAATGGTGCACCTGCCAAATCTCCATGCAGTCTGTATTTATATATCATTCAAAACCAAAGATTTTTTTTTTTTTTACTTCCTCAACCTATATTAGGTACAATGCTGTTCAATTATATTATATAAGGTGTATATGAATATTATAATAGGTCTGTACTCTGTACAGGGATGTTAAAGTTCTCTCATTCCTTATTCAAAATATGTAAATACTTTACTGTGTATAGTCTGGGCACATCTTCACTTTAACATAAGGCCCCATTCACCTTTGTAGCTATAGGCATTGTGGAAAAACGAAACTGCAAAGTGCACAACAGAAGCACTAAAATAAGATTTACTTTCAAGTGGTTGTAAACCCTCACATATAGCCAGTGACGTGACAAGCTTCAGGTGATACAGAGAGATGAAGCAAATCCTTATACACAAGCTGTACCTGTTTATCTGCAGCCCTCTGTTCTCAAGAGCCGTTCAAAGTTTACATAGAAGGCAGGGGTTGGGTACCAAAAGTCACACACTACACATGGGTATGGGATTCACTAGTGAATCAAACTATTCTGCACGTATTAGCTACGCAGGAGCAGCATGTCAACCAGAGCAATACTACTTTTTTGACAGTTCTTTCAGCTCTACCCTCACAGACTTATTCTGGATGGCTGAGAAATTTTATTTTTTTTTTTTTAAACACTTGTCCCAAACACATTTTTTGTACTGGCCAATTATAAACTCATAAGAATGCAGCAGATCAGTCACTAGAAAAAATACTTTATAAACACCGCCCACAAGAATGCAGCTCAGTGTAATCAGAGCACAACATTGCTTCTTCCAGTGTCTATAGTCTAAATGTGAGATTTAATTAACAGACACAAGGTGTGAATGACTGTATGGAGTAGAAGCACAATCTATATGATACATGGAAAACTGGACACTCGCTATTGTCACACGTTGTCA